GGGCAGAGGGCGGGGACGGGGCGGGGACGGGGGCGGGGCGGGGCCGAAAACCCGCACTTGCGGGGGCTGGAGGTAGTGGGGTGTGGGTACTCACTCAGGATGATGAGGATACCCAGGATGAAGAGGATCCCGGCGATGATGAGGCCTCCGATCCGCAGGGATTTGTAGTCTGTGGGCGGCAGGAAGGAGAGTGAGGAGGAGAGGAGGAAGGAGAGGAGAGGAGCAGAATGGGGAGGAGGGGGCAAGGGGGATCAGGGAGGGGGAAGGGATAGAGGAGATCAATGAGAGGAGGAAGAAGATAGGGAGGCAGGAAGAGAGGGATGGGGGAGGAGAGGATGGGAAGGAAAGGGAGGAGGTGGGCAGGGCAGGGAGGAGGGAGGAAACAAGGAAGTAGGGGAGGATGGTGGAGAGGATGAGTGGAACAGAGAGGGGAGAAAGGGAGGCACGGCAGAGGATGAGCCATAAGATACTGAGAGGTTAAAGGAGAAAGAGACTTCGAGAGACAGAGAGGGATCACATAGAGACACAGAGACACAGAGAGACAGACAAGGGGAGATCAAAACAAGGAGTCAGAGATCTCTGAGAGACGAGAGAGAGAAGGAGAGTGATAGAGCTACAATCAGAGTCAGAGAGACAGAGATGGAGAAAGAGGAGTAATGAGGACAAGATGGGCAAACCCAGACCATCGCTCCCAACTCCCACGGACAGACACCCCTCCCTCCCTCACCATAGGTGAATGGGTCATGTTCCTGTGGAGGTTCTGGAAAGAGAAAGAAGTCAAGGATTGGATGCTTCCTGGGACTCTGGACAGAGAAGGACATAAAGAGAGACCTTCTGGGGGCTTTACTCTCCTGGGCTGAGAGTCTGGGGACTGTTGGACCTTGAGCAGGCTGCCCACCCTCTCTGGGTCTTAGCTGCCTCATCTGCACTGTCCTGGGTGGGGCAGGGGGCACCTAACTGCCCCCTCTTTCTGTCTTATCCCATGTTGTCAGTGATTCTGTCATTCGAGGGAAATGGGCCTCCATCCCACTGTCCACCTTTGCCTGACCTTGCATCCACTCCCCTACCCCAAATACTAGTTTGTGACTGGACCCCATGTGAAACCCCCAATTTCCTGGTACCCCAACTGACTCAGTTTAGGTTGGAGTCTCTAACTTGGCTCTCTTGAAGGGCTCCCCGCCTTGCCTCCCTTGGGACTGAGGTGGGTGGTGGGCTACATAGCCCAGACTCACCTGCATTGGCTGTGGTGAGAAAACCCATACAGAGAACCAAGAAGTGGTAGAGAGGCGCCATTGTCCTGGGGGACACCAAGGGTCAAGAAATGTATTCCCTCGTTCCCCCCCACCATTGGGACTTGAACCCAGGGGGTTAAATCAGAGTCCAGGGGTTTGATTCCAAAAGTGTCCATTATCCAACTTGGCCACTGGGAGAAACAGGGGTACCCCCCGCTTCATGCGGACACAGTGTCACCAAAACAAGTCACAGTGGGGGTTGTACGACACACAGCAAGGGCAGGGGTGAGACACAGTCTACAGGGGTCTCCCACAGGCCCGGGCCTCCCCACAGCAGGCCCCAGATGCCCCACACCTACCCCATGGGAAGAGCAGGATGGCTCGCCCCACCCAGGTGGAGAGACAGACACACGCGGTGAGGGATGAGGGACGATGCAGGCAGGACCTGCCCAAGGGTCCACCTGCCCGCACACCAGGGCCTCCCTGTGTCCGCGTAATATCCCAGTTCTCCTGCCCTCGGCCGCGGGCCCGCTCTCTGCCTGACCCTGGGTATAAATATCTCCCACTTCACCCTGGAGGAATTTGCCTCACACAGGCCACCATGGCAACAGCCTTCCTTCCCCCACTCGGGGGTCATGCACAACCCTGCTGGGGTGAGGCCTGGCTGCCACACGGCTCCAGGCTGCTCCTGTGGGAAAGGCCACCCCTTCTCATCTTCTGGAAATGATGAGAACGGGGGAAAAACATCCCCTCTGCCTGCCTCTGGGTGATATCTTTCATGGGCGGATACGGCCAGGCGAGTGGCAAGAGGCCCAGAGCAGAGGGGCCGAGAGACAGAAGACAGATGCCAGGGGCAGGGACACACACACACACAGACACACACACACTCAAGCACAGGCAGCGGGGCTGGAATGGAGACAACACCCATTCCCCCCAAACGCCTGGTTGGAGCAAGCAGTGGGGTGGAGACAGTCACTGAAACGATACTCTTCATCTGAGCCTCCAGTGCCCCCAAATCGTGACGCAACCCGACCTACACACGTGAGTGTCCGAAACCCACCCCAGCCAGGGTGCACACACAGCGGGAGGGGAGGGAGACGTTGTACCCACACGCCCACTCCTGGGGAACCCCACTGTCCCACCCACGCTCCCTTCCTCTTGGGTCTGGCCTGCCTGGGAAGCCACGGGCTGGCCACTCCTGCTCCCAAAATAGGTGGCCCAGCCAGGCGAGGGGTGAGGCCTGGAGGGGAGGGCAGGGGACGCTCACCCCAATCAGGCTGTCCCCTGCTGAAAGGCCCCCAAACGTCCGGCTGTGCCGGGGGTGAGCACTTTGGACCCCCTGGCCCAGAGCTGGACTGCGCCCGCCCTCAGCGGTCTCCCCTCCCAGCCCCACCCCACCCCTACCCTCCCCAACCAGCAGCTGTAACTGGAGCCGGGGCTGGAGGGGGGCCAGGGGGCGGCCCCCAGCCCAGACCGCCCTGGCCCGCTAGGTTAACTCTCTCAGCTCAGATGGAGGAGCCGCAGGAGATGCGTCGGGATGGCTGGAGAAGGGCCGCGCTGGCAGGGAGGACGGGACCCCGGACACACACACATGCCCGCACGCACGTACCCACGCTCGGGCCTCAGGCCCACCTCCGAGAGCTTCCGCCCCGCGGTGGGAAGGTGGGTGTCAGTGGTTTTCTGTGAGATCCCTGCGGATGGGGCCCAGTCGGGGCCTAAGGTCACCCCGTCTGAGTGCTTGGGAGCCCACTGACCCCTGACCCCAAGGTTCTGCGGGGACCTGGGCGGCACCACAGGGCTATTGTGGGGTCATTTCAGCGTGTGTGTATGTTGTCTGCTGCTGACTGTGAGGGCCCCCAGGAGGGCACACCACACACGCGCGTGCACACACACACGCACACACAGAAACCTAAAGATCTTGCTTATCTAGGCACAAAACCAAACAAAATACAGATGTATCCCCACAGACAAACACAGAGGCAGATATACAGAGAATAACACACCGTGGGGAAACCCAAAGACACACCTGCACAGCCAATACTCCTCACACCAGTCACAAAACACCAACAGATACATTTGTGTATGCACGCAACACACACACACTCATTCCGATGGACGCCGGACAGAGACACAAAGACCTTGCCACACACGTCCACCCTTACAGATGGTCACACTCTTGTGAAGACATACAAATGGCTGTACAGAAACATACTGATGGACGCCGGGGTGGCTCAGTCGGTTAAGCGTCTGCCTTCGGCTCAGGTCATGATCCCAGCGTCCTGGGATCGAGCCCCGCATCGGGCTCTCTGCTCAGCCGGGAAGACTGCTTCTCCCTCTCCCACTCCCCCTGCTTGTGTTCCCTCTCTCGCTGTGTGTCTCTCTCCCTGTCAAATAAATAAATAAATAAATAAAAAGAAAGAAAGAAACACACTGATACACACAGCACACATAAATACACCCCACAGCGCAGGCGCACAGCTAGCCCTCCTCCAGTTTCAGGGATGGGAAGGCCACACGCCGCGCACATACGCACACGGGTGTCTACACGCACTTCCGTGAGCACAAAGAGAAGCAGAAATGCCCTCAAGGACACCGCCACACGACCCGCCACTCTTACACATAACCACAAAAACAGACACACACAAACTGTGTTCATACCCGCCTGCACGGGCCAACAGGGCCCTGTCACAGGCAGACAGGCCTACACACTTGTGACTCACCACCAAATGTGTGTTGACACGTTTAACCCCAAACCTCCCCTTTCCTGATCTCACGTGGCCTGTGGGACTCTGTGCTGTTGAATAACACACACGCTGTCCTCACACGCGGGCCAGACTCACGGGCTCTGGTGACAGAGAAAGCTGGTTCCGGGTCTGAGCTCTGCCACTCCTGGTTGTGCAACCTTGAGCAGCCCATGTGACCTCTCTGTGCCTCCGTTTTCTGTCCCATAAAATGGAGAAATCACCGAGATCACACGTATAACACTGGGCCAGGCTCAGAGGTCTCTGAACCCAACACAAGCTTCTCATTAACTCCATTTTAGAGATGAGCAAACCGAGGCTTAGGAAGGTGGAGCTAATTCTCCTGAGGTCCCTGGTGGTTAAGGACAGAAACTGCCCGTACCCTGAAAGGGTCAGACATGGGCTCAGACTCTGGAGGACACAGAGTGGGGAGCACGTGGGCATGCTCATACTCAGGCACAGGCGTAGAGAGCCCGGACACACACACACAGGGGACCCGCCTCAGAGGACCCAGGGGGCTTTGAAATGCACCCTCATCCTTGTACGGCTGCGCCTCTGCCCCTCATGGCCCTGCACCCCAGGGTCACCGGCAGTCTCTGGTTAATGATAACCCTGATGTTTATGCAGCCCTGGGGAGGGCTGACAGAGAAGCAGGGAAGGCAAGCAGGGCTGGGGGCACCTGGCCAGCTCCAGCCCGTCCTTGGCTTCTCCCCCTCACAAGGCCCACTGTTCCAGAGTGGAGCAACTCAGCCACTTTCTACCTGGGTGATGCTGGGCACATGACGTAACCACTCTGAGGCTCAGTTTCTCCTTCTGTAAAATGGGGATAAACTCGTAGTCAGCTCAGAAGGAAGCTGGTGCTGTTAAGTCTTCTGGGTATGTGCAGCCGTAGCCAGAGAAGCTGTGTGTTTTCCTCAGGAGCCGGAGGAGAGTGGTTAGGTTTAGATCTGTCCAGGGCCATGAGGTGAATCATTCAACCTCCTCGTGCCTCAATTTTCCCATCTGCGAAGTGGGGACCAGTAGTATGGGACCCACCTCACGGGGCCGTTGTGAGAACTGAATAAATTCATGTTAAGTCAGGCATACAGGAAGTGCTCAATGATTATTATTACTGCTGTTTCAGGTTGGGTAACAAGTGTCATTTATTTATTTTTCTTATTTAATGGGCAGAATCTATCGAAATTGCTAAAAGCTTAGTCCAAATGAAAACGACCAGTATCCATGAGTTCAGATCTCCCAAGAAAGAACACAAAAATCACACAGAGAGGCCCTGGAGCTGGCTTCCTGGACTTGAGCACTGGCCCTGCCCCAGCTGGTAACCCAAATCTCAAATTAACTTGACCTCTCTCCTCAGTGTTTCCATCTGTAAAATAGCCATATAATAAGATCAACCTCAGAGGGTTGTGATGAGGTCGGCGTGAGCCGATAGACAAAGTTTTAGGACAGGGCCTAGTGCAGAGCCAACGCTGAGGAAGGGGGGGTGGCATCCTCACCATCATTTTTCCCCTGAGTTGGTGGTTCCTTGTCCCAGTGGGTGGTGGGTACGCAAGGGGTTAATTTCAGGCTGGCGAGGGAGGCTGTGGGTTTGGGGCTGGGCAGCTGCCCTGCTGAGTGTGGCCACCAGAGGGAGCAGCTGGACCCCTCTAAGCCTTGGTGACCGGGCACATCACACCCTCTTGGGAGCCCGGGGAGGGGGCTGGCTGGGCGTGGCCAGGATGGCTCCAGCCCCCCAGTGGTCTCTCCTCCCACCCCCTCCGCCTGCCGAGCCATCCGGTCCCCACCCTGGTGACATCCTCCTCACACTCCGAGTGGGGTGGAGTGGGGAATCTGGGGAGGGGGCTGGCTGAGAGGGGTCAGGGCAGCTCCAGCCCTTTGTGGCCCCTCCCCTCCCATGGGGCCATCCAGTCCCTTCCTTAGGGCTGCTCTTCCTACGGCCTCTGACCCCCTCCTCCTTCTTAGGCTGCATTGCCGGGCGCACCCAGTGCCCAGTGAGTCCCTTTCCCAAACCTCTAAGGAGAAGGGGCGTGGGAGGAGGGGAAGAACAGGGAACTGGAAAGGGTGGTGAGAAATAAAGACACCAGACAGCGGGACGCGCGCACTGGCTCGCGCACACACACCCCAACAGAGATTGAGAGACAGAAACAGAGACAGAGAGAAACAGAGACAGAGAGACAGACGGAAATAAAGACAGAGAGTGGGAAGCTGACTAACTCACTGAGTCAGAAACACAAAGAGAGAGAGAGAGACAGAAAAGGAAAGAGAAATAGACAATTAGACACCCGAGGGATACAGGAAGAGAGAGAGGCTGAAAGAGAGACGGAGAAAGGAGAGACAAGCCGGGACAGAGTGTGCCAGCTGGCGGGATGGAGGGTCGCCTGGTGCGGCAGATGTAGCGGCCCCAGCCCGCTGAGCTGGGTGGGCAGAGAGAAGCCGGAGCCCGGCGGGGGTGAGGGGCATGGGAGGGGCAGGCGTGCTTCTACTGCTGCTGGCTGGAGCCGGCGTGGGGGTGGCCTGGAGACCACCAAAGGGGAAGTGTCCTCTGAGCTGCTCCTGCTCCAAGGATAGTGCCCTGTGTGAGGGCTCTCCGGACCTGCCCGAGAGCTTCTCCCCGACCCTGCTGTCACTGTGAGTGTCAGGCCCTCCTGAGGGTGAGGATGGGAGTCCTGGGGCCCCGGGGGCTGGGGGCTGGGGGCAGGGTGCCGGGGCCCCCGAGGAAGCAGGGACCCTTCAGGATCTTGGGAGGTGGGCAGCGAAGGATGTTGGGATGCCTCAGCGAAGGATGTTGGAGCTGCTGGGATTTGGACAGGAGCCGAAGGGAGACTCCAAAGCCCAGGGCAGCATTTGGGGCCCCGGGGCGGTGGGGGGGGGGGAGGGCGGCCGTGGGCGGTCGAGGGGGAAGCTGCATGTTGCCAGGATCCTTGCCAGGTGGCTGTTTCCCTAGGATGGAAAGGAAAGGCATCCGGGGTTGGGGCGGCATGCCAGGGTCCCCCAGACAGGAGACGGCTCTGGGGCGGGACCGGAGCGTTGGGGTGATTGTCTCCTCACCCACCACCGCCCACGTCCCCAGCTCACTCGTCAGGACTGGAGTCACCCAGCTGAAGGCCGGCAGCTTCCTGAGGGTGCCCACACTGCACCTGCTGTGAGTGGGGCCCAGTTGAGCCGACAGCTAGCTCGAGGGAGTGAGGGGGTGTTCCCACCAGTGTGTGAGGGGTGCGTGCTCACATGTGTGTTTGCGCATGTCTGCGAAAGCATCGTGTGTACCTGTGTGTGTGAGACCATGTGCATGAGGGTTGGGGGGGCAACGTTAACATGTCAGAGAGGGGCAGTCACTCTGGCAAAATGGCTTTCTTGCTCCCTTGTCAGCCTCTTCACATCCAACTCCTTCTCTGTGATTGAGGACGATGCATTCGCGGGCCTGTCCCACCTGCGGTACCTGTGAGTGAGGCCAGGGGATGGCGGCGGGGATGGGGGCTCGGGAGAGGAAGCAAGGACCCACCTGTGGCTCCGACAGTAGAGGGAGTAGGGGCTTATTGGCGCGTTGGGGAGTAGGGGGAGTGTCTGGACAAAGGTCCGTCCTGGAGGGGCAAGAGGCCTGGTGTCTTGGGTGGGGTCAGGGCTCCTGCTCAGCTGCGTGATCTCAGCCTGCTCACCTCCCCTCTCTGTGCCTTAAGATCCACAAAGGGCCTGGCTAACCCAAGACCGTTTCTGGCCCTCCCTGACTTAGGGGAGCCCAGGGAGAGGACAGAGAGGCCAGAGACAAGAAAGTGTTTCGTATGAACGGGAGACAACTCTGAGGTGGTGATGGGGGTGATGGGGGCGGTTGCGTCGGCGTTGGTGACCATGGTGTCGATGGGGACCCTGTCGCTGCGGCTGCCCGGGATGATGGTGATGGTGGTGATGGGGGTGATGGGGGCGGTTGCGTCGGCGTTGGTGACCATGGTGTCGATGGGGACCCTGTCGCTGCGGCTGCCCGGGAAGCGGTGGCATTACTGAGGATGATGACGCGCGGGTGACGTGGGTCAAAATGGCAGCCCCGATGGCGCTGGGGCTGGGGGCGATACCGATGCTGAGGTCTGAGGGGCTGGGCTGGGTGCCGTCGCTGTTGTGGGGCGTTGGTGATGCTGCGGGCGTTGCTGGGAGGGCACGGCGGCTGGCACCGGGTTTGGTGGTGATGCTGGAGGTGTGGGCGTGAATGGGAGTCGTGGCAGCAGCCGTGCCGGTGGCCGGGCGTCCTGGCGATGTTGGTATTGCCGATGCTGCTCCGCGTGCTTTTGGTGACGGCGGCAGCGTTGGTGACGATGGTGGCAGTCCTGTTGGGGTTGTCATGGAGGCTGTGTTGTTGGTGATGCCTCCCAGTAGTGCTGGGTGAGGCTTGGCGACGATGCGTTGGTGTGGGTGACGGCAGTGGGTGGCGGCGGGGGCACAGCGTGGGGTTGACCATAGTCTCAGCCATGCTGTTGGCACCGGGGTGGGGGATGGTGATCGAGGCTCGGGGGTGCGTCGTGATGGATGATGGCGGAGGTATGGGTGGTGATGTCGAAGCTAGTGCTGGGGTCGGTGGGCCGGCGGAGTTCACTGTGAGGCTGGCAGGGAGCACGGGGTTAGGTTCTTGCCTCCTGGGATGAGCGTCCGGAACGCTGGGGAGGACAGGTTTCTGGGGAGGCTTCAGCACATTCCAGTGGCCTATGGCTTAAATGGGGTGAGTCTCCCCAAGCGCCCCGGGGGGCCACAGCAGGGAGCCAAGGGCCTCCCCCTCACCCCCCTTCCCTCCACAGCTTCATTGAGGACAATGAGATTGGCTGCATCTCTAAGAACGCTCTCAGAGGACTCCGCTCCCTCACACACCTGTGCGTGCCTTCCCCAAGGCCTCACCCCTCCCTTCCCCTCACCAGCCTGCCCTGACAGCCCCCCACCCCCAAACCCCATCACCCAGGGACACAGGGGATCCGGGTCGCTGGTGACGGCTGCTCCTCCTTCTCTCCTTCCACCAGGAGCCTGGCCAATAATAATCTCGAGACCCTCCCCAGATTCCTGTTCCGAGGCCTGGAGACCCTAACTCACGTGTGAGGCTCAAGGGGGCTGGGGGGGTCAGGGGAGCTGGGGGCTGTTTGAGGGGGGTTTGAGGCAAGGGGAAGGCCACTTTTGGCTGACACAGAGAAGTATGGCGGCAATTGTTCCTCCGTAGGGCCCCATCCCGAACCCTTGCCTGGGGAGGGGGCGGGGAACATGGCCTCCAGGGGGGTGGAAGCCAGGTCGCAGCCCCTCCCCGGCCTCTTGCCCCAGGGACCTCCGCGGGAACCCGTTCCAGTGTGACTGCCGTGTCCTCTGGCTCCTGCAGTGGATGCCCGCCGTGAATGCCAGCGTGGGGACTGGGGCCTGCGCCGGCCCCACTGCTCTGGCCCACAGGCAGCTCCGCCACCTCGACCCCAAGACGTTCAAGTGCAGAGCCATAGGTGGGGGCTTTCCCGGCAGGGTGGGAGGGGCCGCAGGGGTCCCAGAAGAAGGTGGGAGAGCAGGGGAATGGCTCCCAGGGCTGAAGGGCTCACCTCGCTCCCTGCTCTGCTGTTTCCCAGCTTGTGAGCCCCTGAGCATGAGCATCAGCTCCCTGAGCCTCAGTTTCCTCATCTGTAAAATGGAGGTAATAAACCGTGCAGTAGGATTGCAGCGAGAATTCAGTGATGCATCCACGCCCGCATGTGGTGCTGAGCCTTGGATGGGAGGCCCTCATAAGTGTGCACTCTGGTGGTTGTTATTAATATAAAAATGACCTTTTAAAAATACTTGCTATGATCACGTTGCTTTTCCATAAATACGTTTTGGTGCCTTTATGGGTCCTGGGCAGTGCAAGAGGCACAGCGGTGATGAGGACGGCCCTGGCTCTTGCCCTCCCAGAGCCCAAGGCACAGGGAAAGGTGGAGGGTGAGAGCCCGGAGTGGTCAGGACTGGGGTGGGGGAAGCCCACCGAGCTGTGGGCGCCCCGAGCCAGAGCGAGGGCCAGGCACAACGGGAGGGCCAGGGAGGGCTTCCTGAAGGAGTGGGTAAGGCTATTAATGTAATAATCAGTTCTTACCAGCATCTAAGTGTAAGTCGTGTTTTGGGTTTGTGGGACTCATAGAACCAGAGAATTTAACATAAGGGTCACTCTTTATTCAGCTGTCCCACAGTCACTGAGGGCCACTCTGTGTCCGGCCCTGTGAGAGGCAGAGGGCACACTGTGGCAACCCAGACAGCAATGGGCCCTGCCCTCAGAGCTCTGGCGGGTGAGGACATAGACACTGAATAAAATGTTGCAGAAACAAAAGTATGCTACACGTTGTGATAAACACAGGGAGCAGTGAGGGAGATTAAGGTGGCAGGGTGGTCCTACCTTCCACGGGGTGTTGGAGAAGGCTTCTCTGAAGCGGTGGCTTTACATCCAGATGTAGCTCAGTGAAGTACAGAGGGAAGAGCCCTCTGGAGAGAGGGGACAGCATGTGCAAGGGTCCTGAGGCAGCAGAGAGTCTGTCCTGCTTGCAAGTCAAAGGCAGGCAGTGTCTTGGGGGTGTGAGTGAAGGGAAGGACACAGGTGAGGTCCAAGTCAGCGGGGCCTCACTGTGTAGGACTTTGAAAGCCACAGAGAGCAGAGTGGATTTTACCCTGAGGGCTGTGGGAAGCCATGGAGGGTTTCAAGCAGGGGGTGATGTTATGATGGCCATTTTTCAAAGATCCAGCTTTGGGTGGGCATCCTTGGTGGCTCAGTTCATTGCTTCAACCCTGGTGCCTGGAAACAGGGCCTGGCACATAGAGTGAAGTATTATAACCTGGAGTCTACACCCGGCTCCACCACCAAGCTGGGCAACCTTGGTGCATCATTTCCATAAAAGCTAAGTGGCCATAACCAAGAGGCTCAGAATCCCATGACTTAAAGAAGACAGAAGGGTCTGAGGTGAGCAGTCCAGGCAGGTAGGGCAGCCCCTGGGTGTTGTCCTGGTTTTCATGGTTGAAACGGAGTCGTGGCACGTCCATCTGCCAGGCCATGGGGAGAAGGGGAAAGAGACCAAGTCTAGGACGAGCTGTTGTCAAACAAGCGAGGCAAGCATTACCCTCAGCACTTTGCTCTTTCTCCACGGGGAACTTAGCCTGGACAAGGCCGTACCTAACTTCAGGAGGGAGGTGTTGGGGGAGCGCTGGGATCACATGGTAGGCAGCTCTGTGCCCCAGTCCTCATTCATGGAAGATGGGAAGGCTGGGATAGCTTCCTCGTCTGTAGAATGGATAGAATGAAATGCCCCTCACAGGGATCTTGTGAAGTTAAATGTATTAAGAAATACGTTGCGTCTAAGTAATGATTTGATGATGTCATGCAGCTTAGAAAATAAAGCATTCCCCTGTTGTTGTGACTTAATTCATCTATCGATGAAAAGATTCCACTCCGTGTCCCTCTGAGGTGCACACCAGGATGGTCCTCATTTCAGAGATGTGCAAACCGAGGCTCAGTGATGAGGGCCCGCGGGGTCCCCCGTGCCTGCCTGACTCTCTCCTGCCGCCCCCCAGAGCTGTCCTGGTTCCAGACGGTCGGGGAGTCGGCGCTGGGCGTGGAGTCTTTCTCCTACCAGGGGGAGCCCCACATCGTCCTGGCGCAGCCCTTCGCGGGCCGCTGCCTGATCCTCACCTGGGACTACAGCCTGCAGCGCTTCCGGCCTGAGGAAGAGCTGTCCGGTGAGCCCCCCGCCCCCCGCCCCGACTTTCCAGCCCCCTGCCTGCCCAAGAGCCTGCCTGGTGGGCCTGACCTGCCCCGCGGCCTAACCTGCCCTCCGGCTCCCCG